GGAAGCGGAGCGGGCGGGCGTTGGCGGGGGACCCGAGCGGCCGGCGCTGCCTCAGCGCGGAGAGCGGCGCGCGGTGTCGGCGGGGAAGCCCGGGGCGCCGAGATCCCCTCCCGTCCCGGGGCCCGCCGACCCCCAGCTCCCCTTCTCTCCTGGGGCCCCGGGGGGCGTCCTTCGGTTCTCCTGCCCGGGCAGGGTCGCCGGGCTCTCCACAGTGACCCCCGATATCCACCGCCCGCCGCCCCGACACACACACCTACTCCCCTCGTCGTGGCCCGAGGTGCCCGCGGCCAGAGGGTCGCAGAGGGGTAGTGGTGGTGGAGCCCCTCACCCCACACCCAGAGTGAGGCGCCCCGCGAGCCGGTCCACGCAGCGCGGCCCTCGTCAGGCTTCTCCCGCCCAGCTGCTGCCCTCTGCCGGCCGGGACCGCCCCGGGCGACCTGGGCTGTGGCCCGAGGATAGGGACCTTGGCTCCCATCCCCTGCTCCTTTCTTTCTTCTGGGATCACTCCTTCCAGTCCTTTCTCTCCTCGCTCCACACCCACAGACACACTTGTCCTGATCTCCTTCAGGCCAACAGCTATCATCCTGCCAGACCCTGGGCTCTTCACTTCACTGCCCCTTTGGGGATGAGCTTCCATGTCCATACCCACTAATTCAAGTGTTTCCTTCGTCCAGGGAGCCTTCTTCTAGTTTGACTCAGCATGTGGGTGTAAATCAAGAACCCAGAGACCCACCGCCGCAGAATGGGCTTTGGGCTCCAAGTGGGCTACATCTGGGGCCCCCAGGAAAAGACTTTTATAGGTCCCTTCCCCTCCTCACTTCTAGTGTAAGCCTGGCAGGGGCCTACTGATAAACACTCTTTCTACCCTATTTTTCCATAGAAAGCGAGTATCATTGGAAGGAGCTGAACTAATCAACTCCTTGATTCTCATTTTATATGCCATTTTCAGGGCCCCTAGAATCCCATTTCTTTGGGTAAGTGTCAGCCAGAAAACATCTGCTTTAGATACTTTCAGTAACTAAAACTGCCTAATGCTCAGTGCTAGGATGCTAAGCAATCATGGAAGTAGATAAAAATATTTCATTTTAATATTATGTTTATAGAAATACGTTTCAGCCTCTCAGAACCCAAAGTATCTACACAAAGTGACATCAGTGAATTGTTTTCATGGAGAAACTATGGACCTTATCTTTGGCAGTTAGGTGATCTTGATTCACAGGGGATTTCTATGGCTAAAACTAAGGGCTTAATAACAGTATATGTTCATGAGATGCCCTTTTATTAAAGCCTGAAAGGGATGTAGATACAACTGAGGAATAAAAGAAGTAAGGTCTTGGAGTTTGTTGAGGAGAAAGAAGATCCTGGGAAGAGAGAGCAATGATAATCATGGAATAATTCTGCACACACGTTTTAAGCACCTTCCAATGCAACGCACGGTGCTGGAGGCTGGCTTACAAACTAGACTAACAGTCCTTGCCATCAGTGAGCTCAAGACCCTTCACTGCAGATAGAGAGATAACTGGCTTTGAGAGGCTGTGGGGAAAAGTTACAAAAGAGCATCAACAACGAGGTCTGGGTGCTTCACCCAGGAAGAGGCCGACTCTCTGGGGAAGTTGACCTTTGAGCTGGGCCATAAAGGAGAAGTGAGGCTTCAATAAGAGGGAAAGACTCTATAGACAGAAGAGTCTACAAGAGCAAAGGCCTGGAGTGTGAGAGTACTTCTTCAAGGACATCGAATGTAGCTGGAGGAACAGCGAATGAGGCTGGCAAGCCAGTTATGTCCAGGTTGTCAGGACCTTGATACTTTGAGGTACTGAGAAACCATCAAGATTCTGAGGAAGAGAATAAAGAAACCTGCATAGATTGACCTGATAAGTGAATATTGTCAGGAAAGACCATCACAACATAGAAACCATTGGCTTATATTCTTCTTAAAGCATAAGATGGGGTCATTCATCCTTGACCCTCGAAAATCTCTCCCAGAGGAAGGAACAGTATCCAAGAATGATGGAATTATTATCATTTGTTACATAGTAAGGTAAAGCAAATAAGGAGAACTTTTTTCTATTCCAGGCAGGAAAGGGAATATCTCTTCGTTTCTTCTCATAAACATCTCCAGAAGGTCTAGTACAGTGACAGATGGCAGTCTGGTTTGAATTGTTCCCTGATGGCTCCTTTTGTGTATAACTTACTTTCCAACTAGACAGTAAAGTGATCAGCACAGGGACTTTGTCTTCTATATCCCTTGCACCTTCCTCAGTTCCTAAAACAGTGGAACACATAGTAACTATTTAATAAGGATATTTTTTTTATTGATTTGAGTAAAAGATGAAGCACTATTGACTATTTCCGCTTATGGTGTAACTTCCCTACACTCTTTCATTAAAGACCATTTTATCTTCCTGATCTTAAGTTTTCTTTCCCCCATCTTTTACTATGAACATTTCTGACTTTTTTCTTTATATAATCATCCTCTGAAAAAAAATATTTCCCCCTGTATTCAGCTCATGATTGTAGCTACTTTTTTTCCAAACTTTTTAATTCAAGGTGCGGACAAGATTTAGCAGAAAAGAACAGTGAATTGTAACGATGTCTTCAGTGTACACCTTCTTGGTTTGTGACCATAGGACTTACACTGCTGTTACCTTTAAGGCTGCCTTAATATCTCTTCTCACATTTGTAGTTTTTTCTCCCTCTTCTCTTTCTTCTATTATCTTGTTTTATTATCTTCTCTTCTCCTCCACAGATTTCACAACGGTTATGGAGACAGTCTTTTCCACACTACCTTCAGTTTTCTAACATTTTGAACTTCAGTCTTTTCCCTGATTTAGTAAAGAAACATTTTTTCCCACCCTTATGATGTTTCTCCTCCTACCCACCTCATCTGTAATTATTTATTGTTTAGGATACACCTTGTTTGAAATCCCCTACACAAGGGAACCTAAACTACAGCATGCTCTATTTATTTCCTTGTGAAAGCAATTTATTAGGCCTGGTGGAGCCAATATCCTGGAGTTGCAGTGGAGAAAAATAAATTCTTGCCTCATATTTCCTCACCTAAATAACAGAATGCAAAGTTGTAATTTTAAGGCATCAGCTTTATATGAAGTTTGACTTTAAGATATGAAACCATAATAGTTAGGCTTCCTTTTAATTGCAGTTAAGGGGAGAAAAGTATTTGTCAAATTGAGAACCATGCTTCAGAAATCACTGAGGGAAACTAAATGGACTGCAAAGATTGATTCAAAGAAGATACACTTTTGGTTTTGACAGTAACTGAACATGCAGCTAGAAAGTCAAGCTTCAATGTTCAGGGGCTATTTCAGCCTCAGGTGGCCCTATTTAATGGCCTTCCTGTTCCCATTACTAACCATGATGACAGCCCACCTTTTGTAACAGATACACTTGCATTTTAATTTATCTCCAAAAATAAATCACACATTATAACATTTCCCTCTTCTGGGTTAATTGAATCAGTTCCTTAAATGTCTCTAAGTCTAATAATTTGAAAGAAGAACATTGTTTGAAATATTTAAAAAATTAGGGTCCTTAGGTTGTATGCAGAATGAGCTCAGTGCTTATTTCAGATATAAGTGTTTCCTAATGATCTCATTCATGTCAAATGGGATATGCCTGGCCACTTTATTTGAAATGTTTCCTGAAAACTCTAACAGAAAAGCTTAATGTAAGATATATTTATAGAGAAATGGTATTTAATTTATTAACAAAAGCTTATAAAGAGCTTTACATACATATTTTTTATCCAGAAATGCTTAATGAAGTATTTTGGACTCATTATGAAAACTTCTATAAAATAAATTCACTTATATTTTTTATTTAATGTGAATATTAACTTTTTATTTGAGATCTAAAGGCTGATTTAATTATCCTTTTCCTTATAACATCCAGAAGAAAAAAGCCTGAGATTGTGGCATTTATTAACCATAAAAATTCTCTAGATATTAAGTTTCTCATTCCTCAATGTGGCCTCTGGTCACTACATTCTATGGCAAGGGGTATTTGTGGTTACAGGGAGTAAAGCCTTAATTGGTTATGGCTCCAAAAACTGTTTTGATACGAAACCCAATTCTTTCCTTTTAAACCATATCCTCGACTTTTTGGGGACCCCAAGAGACTATTTTAAAAGTGGGAACTAGATTTACCTTTGTTGTAAAGCCCAGTTTTCCACTTCATGTATGTTGTAGAGGTTTCAATCTGGGTGCAGGAATAAGCTCAGTACTTTATCAGTAATCACACTTAATAGATACAGGGAGAAATTACAAGTTCAACTACACAGCCTTTTCTGAAGGGCCTGAGGAAAAAGGCATTAGCTCCCTCTGCAGCTGATGGTGTGTATGTGCGAGTGAATATTGTCAATTTAAAGACAGGAGCTTAGATTCAACATATTTTATCTGATACTGATGAGAAATCTTTAGGAGATGTTACCGTTTGATTTGAATTAGTTTGAAGGAGAGAAAGTCTCAGAGATTCAGGTAAATTTTAGACTGCAGTTAGTTTGGGAGAACGACTTTCATTATAAGAAACGACTTGTGATTTTTAGGAAAAGAACAACCGTGTTTATTAGCTAAATTTACCATAGAAAGTGCAACACTTAGACATGTAAAATCCCTCTCATGTTGTGTTTGGAGCACTCAGTATCACAGAGCAAGTCACATTGGTGTGTCTCAGATTGGAAGCAGCTCTTTTTATCATGGTGGGAGAGGAAGAGTTATTCATAGGCAGATTCTAGAATTTATTTCTTTTCTCACCCAGATAAGTGCTTCGCATGTAACTGTTTGCTTTTTTCCTTCTCC